CACATTGGCTGAATGAGAAAAACCTCACATCAAAGTGGGGAGGAAAGGCTGAGACATAATCTTTCCGGGAATCCCACGAGCATGCAGGGACCCACAGTCAGGAGGGAAAGCACAAATACCATCTTCACCCTGAGGACTGAAAGGTCTGAACCCCAATTCTGGCACCCAAACTTTTTTTTTTTTTTTTACACAAATAGTTTATTGTCAAATTAGTTTCCACAGAACACCCAGTGCTCATCCCCACAAGTGCCCCCCTCCATGCCCATCCCCCCCCTCCCCCCCACATCCATCAGTCCTCAGTTTTTGTCAGCGTTCAAGAGTCTCTCATGGTTTGCCTCTCTCCCTTTCCCCCACCATTTCCGCCCTTCTTCTCCCCCTTGTTCCTCCGTCAAGTTCCTCCTAAGCCTCCTATACGCTGGCACCCAAACTTTTAACCCCACAGGTGGCACCCTCACCTGGCACGTGAGAGGAACACCTAGCTCTGACAGCCAGTGGGCTTGCATTCAGCAGACCCGCAGAGATACAGCAAACTGAGTATCAGTTAAAAGGAATCTGTGCCTGGACCTAGCAGCCCAGGGCTCAGTGCAGAAGCAGCCGACTGAAAACCACCCAGGCTTTCTGTGAAAGAGGCGTATTTGCTTAAAGCCTAGGTCTGAGGGCCAGGCATCGAATTTAACACACATCTAGGGACCTACTGAATTACTCTTCCAAAACAGGCCGTCGGGCACCATTTCTGTGCTCTCCCTCGGTGCAGCTCCAGGTTCCAGGATCTCCCAGAAAGGAGCCTGTAATCTTTTTCTGTGTGTGACTTTTGCAGCTGCCACCCAGGGGACACGTCTAGATTGCCTGGCTCTGGTTACCAGTAGGGCTTACACAGGAGGGCCCCATAGGACTATAACACATGGAGAAAAGGTTCTTAGCTGGCTACTGTCCCCAGGGCACAGCAGAGAGGCAGGAGACCCTGGGGCTTAGTCTCTTGTGAAAGAGGCCTATTAGCTTATGCTCATAGCTGTGGCCTGAGGGGCAGGTTGCTAATTAAACACACATCTGAGGGCCAACTGTAATCCTCCACAGCAACTGCAGAGGGTAGTCTCTCTCTACTTTATCTCCACTGCACTCTCTTTGTGCTTTCTCTACTGCACTCTAGAGCACCGGTATTTACCAGAGACAGAAAACAATGCCTTAAATGACTTGTTAGACCAGATGAACTGAGCAGACATATACAGGACAGTCTATCCAAATACAACAGAATACACATTCGTCTCAAGTGCACATGGAACATTCTCCAGTATAGATCATATGTTAGACCACAAAATAAGCCTTAGTAAATTTGAGAAAACTGAAATCATATCAAGCATCTTCTCCAGCAACAATGTTAAGAAACTAGAAATCAATTTTAAGAAAACTGGAAGATACATAAATATGTGGAGATTAAACAACATGTTACTGAACAACCAAAGGGTCAAAGAAGAAGTCAATTGAGAAATTTAAAAGACATACTTTGAGACAAATAAATATAGAAACACAACATATTAAAAGTTACAAGATGTAACAAGGGCAGTTGTAACAGAAAAGTTCATAGGAATAAATGCTGACATCATGAAACAAGAAAAGACTCCAAATAAACAACCTAACTTTACACCTCAAGGCACTAGAAAAGGAACAAATGAAGCCCCAAATTAGAAGTAAATAAAGATCAGAACAGAAATAAATAAGACTAAGATGACAGAAACTATCCATAAAACTAAGAGCTGGTGTTATTTTTTTAAAGATACATAAAACAAATGGACAAAACTGTAGCTAGATTTACAGTTAAAAAAGGGAAAACAGGGAAAAAAGAGAATTCAAAATCAGAAATGAAAGAGGAGACACTGTAACTGATACCACAAATATAAAGGATCATAAGAGACAACACTGAACAATTATACACCAATAAAATATACAACCCAGAAGAAATGGATATTCTTAGAAACATATAACCTGCCAAGACTGAATCTTGAACAAAAAGTCTGAACAGATCAATTGCCAATAAGGAATAAATAAAATTTAAAAAACACCTCCTAACTAACAAATCCAGGACCAGATGGCTTCACTGATGAATTCTACCAAACATTTAAAGAATAATTAACATCAACCCTAGACTACTTATATGAAGACAGCTTCAATATTCCACAGAACGCGCATTTTACCTCTAGGTGAAATGCTTTTGCTGGGTTTACTTTTGGGGCATTATCAACATTAGGCATTGGCATACTGTTAGTTATAAGTTGAAATTGTTCAATAAAATACTAAATAATAGAAAAACCAAATGTAAACACATTGGTAAGAGCCATTTAAGCTGAGGAAATCTTTGTTTGGTACCCTCGAGCTCATTAGCTAAAAGTAAAGGTAAAGGAAAGTACTCCTTACTGGAAAGAACTCCCTACTGTCTAATGAATGACAGGCCTTGAGAAAAATACATAAGTTCACTTTCTAGTATTTCAGTGATTTATATGCTTACATATTTAAAAAAAATATTTAGTGTGGGGGAGGGGGAGGGGGAAGGGGAGGGAGAGGGAGAGGCAGAATCTCAACCAGGCTCCACATGCCATCAGTGCAGAGCGTGATGCAGGGCTTGAACTCACAAACTGCAAGATCATGACATAAGCTGAAATGAAGAGTTGGAGGCTTAACTAACGGAGCCATCCAGGCACCCCTATATGCTTACATTTTTAATATATAACTATTTCCAACATTAACAGCACATAATAAATCACTGCATGAGGCCCCTTTAACAGACATGTGCATAAGAGAATTCTGTTAGCCATGTAAATTCAACTACTCTATCAAATTATGTTTTCTAACTTTAAAATTTTTAAATAATGTGAAATTCTTGAATAAAATGTTGATGGGTTTTCATAAAATAATGATAATAAAGGAGCCTGAGAGAAGAGAAATTATCCAATATTTTTAATTAGATCAAGATCAAATATCTTTTAAAAAAGATACTTTTCTCATCTAATGGTTCTGAATGTTCAACCATGAATCCTGTCAAATTTTAAGTTAACGGGTTTTAATTTTTTTTTTTTTTTTTTTTTTACTGCCTATTTAAACAATGTCAAGTCCAGGGCCCATTTACTCATTCTTTATTTTTCCCATCCTTAGAAATCAGTATGTCCCTTCCACTCCTATCTTATTAGGTAAAGCAAGTCATGGTCATGCCTAACTTCAAGGTGGTGGAGTGTAATCATCCCGTATGTTCAGGAAAGGAAGGATAACAGGAAATATGAACTCTAGTAAGCCACCATGCTTTTTTTTTTTTTTTTTTTTACAAATAGTTTATTGTCAAATTAGTTTCCACATAACACTCAGTGCTCATCCCCACAAGTGTCCTCCTCCATGCCCATCCCCCCTCCCCCCTCTACCTATTTTTTTTTAAGCTTTAGGATTTTATTTTTAAAGTTATATTTTTTATTTTTATTTTTTTATTTTAAAATCAGAATGCTTAAAAAAACTTTTTTTTTTTTTTTTTTAAGTGAGAAGGTTTTAAAGAACAAATTATTTCTGGGGCACCTGGGTGGCTCAGTCAGTTGAGTGCCGACTTCAACTCAGGTCATGATCTCACAGTTCATGAGTTCGAGCCCCACATCAGGCTCTGTGCCGACAGCTCAGAACCTGGAGCCTGCTTCGGATTTTCTCTCTCTCTCTCTCTGCCCCTCCCCTGCTCACACACTGTCTCTGTCTCTCAAAAATAAAATAAACATAGGGGCGCCTGAGTGGCTTAGTCGGTTAAGCATCCGACTTTCGCTTAGGTCATGATCTCGCGGTTCGTGGGTTCGAGCCCCGCGTCGGGCTCTGGGCTGGCTGCCAGCTCAGAGCCTGGAGCCTGTTTCAGAGTCTGTGACTCCCTCTCTCTCTGACCCTCCCCTGCTCACGCTGTCTCTCTCTCTCTCTCCTAGAAATAAATAAAAAAAAATTAAAAAATTTTTTTAAATAAACATAAAAAAAATTTATTTTAGGAGAGCAAATCATTTCCCACCTCTCTAAAATGTCAGCTATAGAATCTTTATTATGGTGTAATATTTAAAATGGAATTTTTCAATTACATATGTTCTTAGAATATGTAATAAATTCCTATTCTGATTTCAAGTTTGTATACAATCTAATTCTTAACCCTTCCCCGTGTTTAAAAAAAATAAACCAATAAAACAATACACATCATGTCTTAGGCACTTGTAGGAAAACCTGCTATTTTTTGAACCTTCCTAAAATGCAGATTGTTTATGGCCAAACATAAAAGCCACGGAGTTCTGAAAAATTTTAAAGAGATAATTAATTCAAACATAAAAATTAAGTGGCTTAAAAATCCTGGAAATGGGGGGGAGGGGGGATGGGCATGGAGGAGGACACTTGTGGGGATGAGCACTGAGTGTTATGTGGAAACTAATTTGACAATAAACTATTTGTAAAAAAAAAAAAAAAAATCCTGGAAATAGAAAAGAGCGAAAACAACTAAAGGAGTATGATTAGTAAACTGCCCAAATATGTTATTATACCTAAAGATGTAAAGTTTTAAGAGAGGAGTACAAAGAAAATCAATTTTACTTTATAAAATTCTGTCTTATAAAACCAAAAGCTGAGAAAGTAATGTAAGAGAGTCCCTCAGTTGGTGGAAGTATTTACTACAAGTTTCCATTTAATGGCACATTCCTTTAAGGGAGTTGGAAATAAAATACACAAAAATTAAATTTGCCTCAGAGCTGTTCAGGCATATCCCTAGAATAAAATAGAGCAATTCCTGTGCTGAATTTTAGGATGTTGAAACAATAGGCTCAATTATGAACAGTGACTATTAATAGAAGGCAAGAAGAAATATATACATTCAAACCTGAGCCATTGGCAAGAAAGTGGCTTTCGGACAATTTCTAGTTGTAAGGAGAAAATCTTAAGAATGTTTCAAGGGAAACTAATACATTTCTACATGAAGACAAAATGTATACATTTAAAAAAATGTGTCCTACCGTTTGTACTTCAATATCACCTTCTTCCTCAAATGTTGTTTCTTCCTCCTGGACTGATACAGACTCACATTCTTGTGGTTTATTTTCTTCTTGGAGCTCGTCACTGATTTCTGCTTCTCCGTTCTTAACTTCGTCTTTGACAGAGTCAGTTACTGTGGCAACTCGTTCTTGTAATGGTGTTAAAACAGGCCACAGTGGTGTGACATGGTCATAGTGAGTATGTAGGAGTCGTACAGCAATGTCACTTGTTGCTAAAATCCTTGGAATTTCAAATCCAATTTGTGTTTCAGAGAATCTGATACTTCTGTACCTGTTAATAATTTTAACAAAAAGAATCAGACTGTAAGAAACAAAGTCTGCTGAGAATTTATACCTAAGCAAGATTTCTCTCCACTTTAATTTTGCCACAATTTTGAGTCCCAGCCCAGGCTTGCTTGCTTTGCAGCATTTGGACCCAGTTCCTAGTGTTATCTTTCTCAAAAACACTCTGTTGGGATCTATGACCCCACACTTTTCTCTTCCATCTCAGGCAGGTCCTTCTTTGTTTCCCCTGTATGGCCTTCTTCCTAACTGTCCCTTAAATGTTGACATTACTCAGCTCTCTATACAGGCTTCTTTCTTCCTCTCTCTACCTACTCTCCTTGGATATTATTTTGATGGCCTCAATCATTACTTATGTTTTCAGGCATTTTTTTCTTTTTTTAAAAAATTTATTTCTGAGAGAGAGACAGAGTATGAGTGGGGGAGGGGCAGAGAGAGCAGGAGACACAGAATCTGAAACAGGCTCCAGGCTCTGAGCTGTCAGCACAGAACCCGACGCGGGGCTCGAACCCACGAACCAGGAGATCATGACCCGAGTCGAAGTCGGCCGCCCAACCGACTGAGCCACCCAGGTGCCCCTGTTTTCAGGCATTTTTAACATGAGTTCTACATGTACCGGAATGGGGTAGCAACACAAAAGAGGGGTCCCTGAAGGGGCTTTAAGAGGTCCCAAAATGTCCTTACCTATGATGAGTGTATGTAATAAAGTTCTTAAGAGTCTATGACTCCCAAAAAGTTAAGAAGTACTAGTCTGTATGATGACTCCCGAAAACAGATCTCCAACTCAGATTTTTCAGTGCCTTCACACAGCTGCACTTTGATATTCCATAAGTACTTCAAACTCAACAGATCCAACATTAAACTCATCATGCCTGCAGCCCCCTGACTATCATCAAATAAAACAAAACGCGTTTCTGCCTCCACTATTCACTATCTTAGTAAAAAGACAACATCTAATTCTCTTCTAATTTTCATCTTAAATCTAGGTAGTTAATATAGGGCTATTCATTTTACTTCTTTTAAAATAATACACAGTAATTTCTATAGACAATAAAACAGGTGATATTAATACACTGTTTCATTAGATTTAAATCACAGTATCTTACAACAAATGTAACTTGAAAAGTATTTTGTTCCTTCCTGTTACAAAATATCAAAATTAAAGTCCAATTCTTTCCATTGTCATATGACTAGTCTTTTCAGAGCTGGGACCAGAACCTAGGACTCCTGACTTTTACTTTGCTATTTTTCCCCCCTTGAACTCACTACCATACTAACTCAATTAATTTGAACTGCTGATGATTAAATAGCAGAAGTGATGATAAATTTATCATTATTACTCTAATTTCTCTGAAAGATGTTATTAGCTGTAAAGAATTGGGGAAACGTCACTTAAATATCTAAAAAATAATATATATTAAAGTATTTTTAAAGTATTAAACAGTTCACAAAGATTTTTACAGTTTTAGATTGCCATGTAGAAAGCACCTACCTCCCCCCCCCATGGGGGTGTGAATTAAGTGGGTAAAGAAAAGGAGAAGACATTTATCTATTCAGCATTTATTTGTACTAGACATCATGCTATGATATTTACATTAATATGTAATCTTCAACCCAATCCCATTAAGTAATATAGTCATCATTTGACCACTGATATAATGAAGCACAAGAAGGCTAAGTGACTTGCCTCAGGTAAATAAACGGCAGGTCTGTGATTCAAACTCCAGCTGGCTGACTTCCTAACATAGATTTTATCCAAGTATACCATGCTATTATGCAAAAGACATATGCTTGGTCATCATGATGTGACTCCCAATGTCTTTTGACCTACAGTATCACCCACGGGAATACCTTGGATTCTTCTTGAGGTTTGCCCACACATACAGAGTAACATTTTCATCTTGAATGACTTTTTCCTTATTTCCACTGTCCAGATCTGCTAATGTACTAGCTTGCTGTGACAGAAAATGAAAACATTATAAAAGATTAGAGGCCTCATAAATTATGCAACTTACAGGAGTCATTTCATCATTTAGGTGTTAGATTCCCTTCATTACTTAAAAGAGTAATATGGGTAGAATAATATGGGTAAAAGTCTCAAACTAACAAAAAACTGTTTTAAAAAAACTCTGAATGATACAAATGAATTTACTTAATTAAATGTGCTTCATCTTTGCACTCAGTTGCTTGCAGTGTCTAAGGATTAAAATTGCTCCTGTATTCCCAGGATTACTGTTGTGTTACCCTTCTCGATTTTCACATTATCATGACTTTTCATTTTAAACTATAGATCATGCTACTGCAAAAATTAGTTCATTTCTGAACATTATCAAGTTTAGAAAACAAAATATCCCATTATGAAATCTAAATGAGTCATGTTTCATTAGTCAATCCAACACTTGATGTCTAACATTAAACACACAATTTAAGGATGTTCTTAAGAATGTTAAATAAAAGCTAATAGAGCTTGATGTATATTAGCTCTCTTAAATGTCTCAAGTAAGTCAATATTGTATGTGTTTACTTGCCATATTGTAAAACCTTAGAAGTACTGGAGATTGATGCAGTGTCCAGAATAGTTGTCTTGTAGAACACTGTGAATTTATCTCATTGTTTCCTCATGGTATTGTTTAACTTGCTCTTCTATCCCCGTTATTTTTTGTGATTTTTTTTGGAAGTTAGGTGTAGGTAGGTTTAATTATTTTTGGCAAGAAGGCATTGGAGGTTATGTTGTGTTCTTCACGTTGTGTCTTATCAGGAGCTCTAGGACATCCCACAATTAACAATGTGGACTTGATCACTTGGTCAAGGTATAAGTACCCATATTCTCCCAGTTACAAAGTACACTTTTCCCCGATTAATAAGTAATCTGTGGCCGAATACTTCGGCACTAGGAGACTCATGTGTTCTTCAACAACGTTTCACCTAATTACCTAGGTGAAAATGATCCTTATCACTTATTACAATTGGGAATTGAAAACTGGTGACTTTCTGACAATTCCTTCTACATTTATCAGATGGCATTCTTCTATAAAGAACTCTTCTTTCCCCTTACCCCACGGTCCCCCTTCCTTTTTGGAGTATCACTTTAGACCCGTGGATTTTTTCTTTACTTAATGTGTTATAATCAATTATGATTGTTCTTTCTGATATTCAAATTAGTCTAAATTTGACCAATGAGAGCCTCTTTAAGCTAGTTCTATCCCTTTGGAAACAACTCCAACAGTCTCTGAGTATTTATTTGCTTTCTAGCACAAGATAACTCAACCTCATCTTTCACTTTCCTGACTCCAGACCTGGAATTTGCTGTTTACCCCAGTTAGACTTCATTCCATTTTAAGAATTAAAAAGAACTCTGGTTCATACTGATATTTCCACTTCAAATTTAACATTACAGTATTTTTTTCCTAATCTGCTTTTCTTTTACATACTGTATTTTTTTCTCTTAAACTAGATTGCTAATAATTGTAAGACACTTCCTTGTTTTTTTCTTATAGTATAAATAAAATAGTTGCAAAATTATAATAAGAATATTACTAACAATAAGTTTAGTGAAGTTTAAGCCTTCTTTGCAGTTCTTCTTGTAATTAGAACATAAGCTACCAACCCTATTCAGAGGACTGTATTCTATACCAAAATAAACCAAAATACCCAAAAACAATGTGTGACCTTAGGCTGTTTTCTGATTTAAACAACAAAATAAAACAAGAACAGTTACAGAAGACATTGATGGGATATTAGCCAAAATTTAAATATGGACTAGATATTAGAGTATGGAATTATTACTTTCTAAGGTATAATAATGATTTTACAGTTATTTGAATATTATCATTAGTGATAAAATATTTGGGGAAAATAGAGTGACTACCAATAATCTTTATCAACTGATTTATCTAGACTAGTGAATATCTAACATATGTTTTACAAATTTATTTTCATAGTGATCCTACTAAACCTTAGCAAGTATAAGAAAAAAGCTGGACTTTAACTACATTGATAATGGTGGTTTTTTTTTTTTCCTTTAGATATATTTACAGTTGGGGGCACCTGGGTGGCTCAGTTGCTTGGGCATCTGACTCTTGGTTTCAGCTCAGGTTGTCATCTCAATGGCTCATGAGTTCAAGCCCTGCATCAGAGTGGAGCCTGCTTGGGATTTCTCTCATCCTCTCTCTTTGCCCCTCCCCAGTTCGTTTGCTCACGCGCTCTCTCTCTCTCTCGCTCTCTCTCGCTCTCTCTCAAAATAAACATAAATAAAAATTTTAAGAAATATTTATGGTTGTTAAATCTGGATAAATATATGCCTCAGATTATTCTACTTTTCCATAGCCTTTTAATGAAAAAAGAGTGAATTTTTCATTATATAGCATAAAATTTTTATTCTTACAAAAATTAATCATAACTTATGGGTAAAATAATCACACTCACTCTGAGAAGTATTTCTGTGGCTGTGTTAAACTTAAGATGAAGGAGCTCCTGCAGTTCTAGAATTGATCCTTGATATTGTTTTATAGTTTTATCTTCCAAATCATATGATGGCATTTGCAATAAAAGTAATCTCAATTTCTCAATTAACTATAAAGTAAAAATATAAAGTAAAAACTTACTATAAAAATAAAACTTCTGACAAATAGTCAAAGAAAAAGTGAAAAGACGATGTTCTATCACATTAGAATTGACGAACACATCATATCATCAGTAAAACATTTAAAAACCCTTTTATTTACTGTATTATTTAAGATTATGGAAAAATAAAAACTAATTCCTACAGATTATCCATTATAAGAATTCTATAACTATTGGCAAGTTAAAAGAGGAGGCATAGCTTGGATACTGAAGACAATGAAACAACAGAAATGATTATATAACAATAATGAGGAGGAGGGGCACCTGGATGGCTCAATTGGTTAAGTGCCCAACTTCAGCTCACGGTTCGTGAGTTTAAGGCCCGTTGTTGTCGGGGCTCTGTGCTGACAGCTTAGAGCCTGGAGCTTGCTTTCCATTCTGTGTCTCCCTCTCTCCCTGCCCCTCCCCCACTCACACTCTGTTTCTCTCAAAAATAAACACGTGGGGTGCCTGAGTGGCTCAGTCGGTTAAGTGTCCGACTTCAGTTCAGGTCATGATCTGATGGTTCCTGGGTTCAAGCCCCGCATCGGGATCTGTGCTGACAGCTCAGATCCTGAAGCCTGTTTCAGATTCTGTGTCTCCCTCTCCCTCTGCCCCTCGCCCACTCGTGGTTGCTTGCGCGCTCTCTCTCTCTCTCTCTCTCTCTCTGTCTCAAAAATAAATAAATAAATAAATAAATAAAAATTAAAAAAAAAACTAAAAACCAGCAAACAAACAATAATGAGGAGGAAGGTGGAGGGGCAGATGGTTACTAATATGTACTGAATGTTTATATGGGTGCCCAGGGCAGGCTACCCCCAAATGTACCACAATGGCATATTGATCATTTTGAATCAAAGCTACTTGAGAAACAACTAGTATAAAGACACTTGGACCCTCCTCTGTCTCCTGAAAGCAGGAAACAAATCTCGCATATGAAAAATACCCTTCCTGTACTAAGAAGTAAAAAGACCTCTTTATTATCAGAGATAGGGACTTTAAAGTCAAGAAAACTATAGGAATAAACCTTGTTACTGTTTTTACTAATCTACCACCTCAGACCAAACTCCACTTAGAATTCCTTACTAATTAAAGTTCACAAACACCTATTTTCCTTATCTTATAAATTCCTCACAAATCTATTGTCTCTTTATCTAAAATGTATAAAAACTGCCTGCCTTGGTCATTTCTTTGGGTCTCAATTTCATTATTGGGTCTCCATGTGCATGTAATAAAATTTTGCGTTTTTTCTATTAATCTGTCTCTTGTGAATTGAATTCTCCATCCAGGTGAAAGATTTTGAAGGATAGAATTTCCCCTCTCCTACACTTACTATGTGCCAGGAACTTTTCTAAAATGTTTATATGTTTTAATTCATTCTATCTTCATCATAACTCTATGAGGTAGATACTGTTACACTTATTTTTTATTTAAAAAATTTTTTTACATTTATTTAGTTTTGAGAGACAGAGTGAGACAGTGTACAGGTGGGGGAAGGGCAGAGAGAGAAGGAAACACAGAATCCGAAGCAGGCTCCAGGCTCTGAGCAAGCTGTCAGCACAGAGCCCGACGTGGGGCTCAAACCCACAAACCGTGAGATCATGACCTGAGCCGAAATCGGATGCTCAACCGACTGAGCCACCAGGCGCCTCCTATGCCCATTTTTTTGTTTTTGTTTTTCATTATAGTTTATTGTCAAGTTGGTTTCCACATAACACCCAGTGTTCATCCCAACAAGTGCCCTCCTCCATGCCCATCACCCGTTTTCCTCTCTCCCCCCACCCCCATCAACCCTCAGTTTGTTCTCAGTATTTAAGAGTCTCTTATGGTTTGTCTCCCTCCCTCTCCCCAACTATTTTGCCCCATGCCTATTTTTTATAGATAAGGAAACCGAGCCAGTCTGGTTAAACCGGTAAGGAGTTTAGAAGACCCCACTCCTTCCTAACAGCAAGTAAAGAGCTCAAGAGACTGAAAAATCGACAACTCTTCTTTGATCAACAAGAAGGGAGGAGCCCCCAAGAAGGGAAGGGACTGGGCAAATGCCTGACCTCAAGACTGGAAAGACCTATAAGTGAATAGAGAAAGTTAGCTTACCAGAGTGTATTCAGGAACAAAAGCCACTGCAGACACCAGTGCCAGACAAGAACATCTGAACTGCAAATGACAAATTCCTGGAGGCTTAGTGTGGACAACTCTTGAGACTGAAAAACTCCAGGAGAGCACAGTCATAGAAGGAAGAAAGCTCACCATAGGGTGAGATTTGCCTCCAAATGCTCCATCAGGTTCTTACAATAAATATGGGAGCAGAATCCCCTCCTACTTCCGGCAGAGGGAAGCGAAAAGGAACGGTTTTGAAATACACCAGAGTACTCTGTCCTTAACAAGGCCTGATCTTAGGGAAAACTAATTAACTAGAGACTAATCTCCAGGAGTTTTAGCATAGCCTCACTCACCTGGGAGGAAGGAAATAGACAACTTCAGCTAGCTCTAGCCATCCCCTCCCACCTAAGAACAATGTTTTAAAAAATTAAAAAGGGGCGCCCGGGTGGCGTAGTTGGTTAAGCGTCCGACTTTCGCTCGGGTCATGATCTTGCGGTTCGTGGGTTCGAGCCCCGCGTCGGGCTCTGTGCTGACTGCCAGCTCAGAGCCTGGAGCCTGTTTCAGTCTGTGACTCCCTCTCTCTCTGACCCTCCCCTGCTCACGCTGTCTCTCTCTCTCTCTCCTAGAAATAAATAAAACATTTAAAAAAAAAAAACAACCATTTTAAAAAATTAAAAACACTTGTGAAGCTCACCATGCAGAGACACAGGCTTATTACAAGACGAAGACCTAATTGCAGGACTATAGATAGGATTCTCCCCCTCCCCATCCCCAACTCACAGCCATATTACTAAAGCCCTATTTATACCACTTCCTTACACTCAGTACATCATGTCCAGCTATTAGATGAAGATTACAAATCCCACTAAAAGGCAAAAAAACCCCACAATTTAAAAGACAAAGCAAGCATCAGAACCACACTTGGCAGGGATGTTGAATTGTTAGACCAGGAATTTAAAACACCTATGACTGATATGCTAAGGGCTCTAGTGGATAAAGCAGACAGCATGCACAAATAGATGGGCAACGTAAGAACTCCTAAGAAAGAACCAGATAGAAATGAATGAATGCCTTTGGTGGGCTTATTAGTAGACTGGACTCAGCAGAGGAAAAAATCTTTGGGCTAGAGGACATATCAACAGAATTCCTGAAAACCAAAAGTCAAAGACAACAAAAACCGAATGAAAAAGTTTTTTAAATAGAACAAAATAGCCAAGGACTGTGGGACAACTACAAAAGGTACAGCAGACATATAATGGGAATACCAAAAGGAGAAAAAAGAGAGAAAGGAACAGAAGAAATATTTAAAATAACAGAATTTCCCTAAATGGGAGTCAGATGCGAAACACAGTTTCAGGAAGCTCGGAGAACCCCAAACAGGATAAATGCCCTAGAAAACAACACTTAGGCATACCATTGTCAAGCTATAGAAAAGCAAAGATAAGAACTCTCGACAGAAGCCAGAGGAAAAAACACCTTACCTTTAGAGGAACAAAATGAAGAATTAACATTTAACTTTCCAGAAATAATCTAATCAAGAAGAGAGTGGAGATATTTAAAGTGTTGGGAGAAACTGAGGCACATCATGATCAAGGAGCAACGAATAAGTGGCAGGATTTAGTCTTGAACACTGACACAGATAACACCTAGAAAATTTCTGAATTAAGAGAGGTGACATTGTGGTGTAGGGCAGCATGGACTTAAGCCAGAATGCAGGGCTTCCATCCTCACCACGTCTTACCAACAGTGTGGACTTGGACAAGTTTGTAACATCTTTGTGCTTCTGTGCATCACTGTGCCTTCTTCATTTGTAAAATGAGAATAGTGATACCTACCTCCTAGGGTTATTATAGGAATTCAGCAAGTTACTATATCTAAAGCCTGGAATAGTAAGTATTATATAAGGGCTGGCCAAATACATTTGGTAATTTGGAACTTGGTGTTTACCATGGGGTCACTGCTATCCAATTCTTTCTGTTCCTCAAGTGCTGCCTGCTTTAGTTTCCTATGGCTATGATCCTCCTCCTCTCCCACCTCCTGTTTTGTTTTACTTACCCTTTCCTCATTTTCTCTACCATTTCTTACTTCTACGTCTGTAACTCACTCTCATAATAGGGAGATTTCACCCCCAGCTCATCACCAGTGAACTCTAGTGCTGCTTCCCACTCTCTCCCAGCTCCTGCAGAGCACCGGGTTCCTGGACCAGCATCATGCCACGGCAGCCGGGAAAGAACACTGCACGATGAATCCACTGGCGTCCAAATACCTCACAGGGGACAGGAGGCTTGGGAGCCTTTGGAAAGTCAGAGTGGGACCCATCTAAAAAGTCTCATAGGAGACTCCAAGCAAGTCACAGTTTCTCTCTCCATATGCAAAATGGATCTCATAAGCTTGTCCACATCAACCTAGGCAATGCATGTTATGAGCATGACAGTCTGGAGTTACTCGATCTTATAACAACATGTAGAAGAAGTAAACCACGGTGACAAGCGGCACAAAAAGTGCAGTGACGAATTGTAACAAAATCATTAGAGGATAACAGGACCACGAGCAGTGAATTCTTTCCAGTTCCTACTATTATGTAAGTGTACCTAGTATGGGTTTCTTTCTATTCATCCTAGCGGGATTTGTTGGGTTTCTTGAATCTGAGGATTTGGATCTTTCCTCAATCTGGAAAGATGTCAGTCATTTTCTCTTTGAATACTGTCATTCCCTCATTCATCTGCCACTCCTTCTGGTAGTCCTTTTCGACGCATTTTAGCCCTTTTTACTCTATCATACAGATCCATTAACTGCTCATTAATATTTTCCATCTCTGTCTCTTTCTGTGTGCTATATTCTGGGAAATTCGTTCAATACAACCTCTGATTCACTTGTGATTAAGAATCCTCAGTAGACACATGTTTGCTTCCCTTCACTAAGCTAACGGTGAGCCAAACAAGTTCTTACCATCTCCCTTTGCACAGCAGGTATTTTCCCTCTTATCCACAATAACTTTTTGAGGCTCCCAGCCATATAAGGAGCTTCTGATCCAACCTGCCACCTTGCATGCACCCTAGGCTTTGCTTCCTGATGGTTCTTTAAACCAATGCTAACCCAAGAGTTAACAGAAAAAGAAGCCTCTGGGAAAGTGGCATCTCTGGGAAGCCACTGACTCTGAGACTGGACCACTTTTCTGAATTGTTTTATGGCCTCCAAGATTTTCTTTTACTTTCTTTTGAAATAGGGAATGAATTTAAATATCATTTAAAACATTTTTTAGCATTATAATGTGGTAGTTCCTCAGCATATCCTGTCCAATCTATTTGCAGAAGTAGAACGTAGGATATTCTTTAAATGTTGATTTATTTTTAAGAGAGAGAGAGAGAGAGAGAGAGAGAGAGAGAGAGAGAGACAAAGCATGAGCAGGGGAGGGGCAGAGATAGAGACACACAGATATAAAATCCGAAGCAGGCTCCAGGCTCTGAGCTGTCGACATAGGGCCCAATGTGGGGCTACAACTCATAAATCATGAAATCATCACCTGAGCTGAAGTCAGACCCTCAACCAACTGAGCCACCCAGGTGCCTCAAAGGTAGGATATTTTCATTCACCTTTGTTCTTTCATGCCTAAAAGAGGAGGTGCCTGGCACACAGTTGACACAGAAAAGTATGTGTCGTGAATCACTGAATAGTGGAAAGTTTCAACTCAAGATAAAATCATGCACTTTTCTCCTAAGTTATTTACAAAAATGGATGCAACTTGATTTCTTTTCCTCGCTTGGATTAGACACACATAATGTTTCACATTTATTTTATGTTGGCCTTATCTAAGGTGGCAAAGATAAAAAATAAAAATAGGAGTTGTAAAAATTAAAAAAAATGAAAAGGTTAACAAATATTTTTCTCAACATCCAAACAAGCAGTAGTGTTATTAATTGGCAAATACAAATCTATATTTATTTATTTCAATTTTTGGATTGATACAATTTGTAACTCAAATAATTTAAAATTACAGAGTAATACTCCAGTACCTACATTTAGCACTAGTTTACTTTTTGTGATGACTTCCTCTAAAGTCTCATTTGTTTCCTCTTTCCACAAACTAATGAAAGTGTTAATTTCTGGGGATATTGAAGGATCAGGACTCCCATCACATTGGATGTAGTGATTCCACTGTAGAATAAAAATGGTGGAAAGGTCACAATGATGAAAATGCAAAGATTAAATAACTTCTTTCAAAGTATCAGTTCTCATTACCTAGTTTTCCCAATTTAGGCAAAAAAAAAAATGATGACTTTAACTGTCTACTTGAGATATCTCTAAAATTAGCCAAAGTCTCTTCATCAAATAATTTATAAGCCTCAATAGTTCAAATAAATAGCAATTCTAACAATTGTCATACTTTTAAAACAGTATTTATGAGTTGGTTTTGTTTTGCTTTCCTCTCTAATCACACAGCTCCTGTATTTATGAAAGCCAATACTTGGGCTAACTTCTACTTACCAAATTATTACTGTTTTCTGTGGGTTTCTTTTCCAAATTATTACTAACAATGTCATTGTAGTATGAGCTCTTCCATTCATTTTGCAGTCTATGAAACTTCTACACTTGTAATCATATTGTACTTAAAAATTTTTGCTTAAAATTATACTGCAATCATCTTTTGCCATATTATTACAATTTTTTTCTCCTTATAAGAAACTTTATTGTTTCCAAAGCTACACTGTTTCGAGCAATGCTAGATTGCCTTACGCTCAGAGTTTTCTATTTTAATTTAGAATAATTTCCTCAGTATAGATTCCCCCAAATTAAATCAGAGTCAAAATAAAAAATTTCAAGGGTCTTATTATTGACAATAGTTTTCTACAAAGCTATATGAATTTACTTTGCCATGTGCAATATGAGATTTGTCAAATTTGAAATGGTTTACAGACAAATGAAAAGCTCAGGGGGATTAAAAAGGATATCAGAGTATAATTCCCACTTGGGGCACACACACAAAATCAATCTTACCTGAGACAGCAATCTAGTATCTTGTTTCAACTTCTCTGCTTCAGAAAAACATGCCTCTAGTAAATAAAGTTCTTCAAGCTCTTCTTTCCTCCTTTCTAGATCCTGTTGCATGGGGAGAGATACATTGGCGGGCTCTTTAATTTTAGCTTTATGTTTCACAAGTAGCATCTAAACTTTACTTGGCAAAATACTTAGTTTCAAAATGAGCACTAAAGTTAGTTTGAATGTAACAGGCATTTCCACAAGGTTTCCTCTGAAACAGCGGTGTGCAAGTTATCTGCAGACCCCTGGTGGATCCCCAAGACTCTTTAGGGATCTGTGAAGTCAAATATGTCCTCATAATAATACTGAAGCAGTATTTGCCTCTTTCGCAATGTATACAGTTACACTAATGCTGCAAAATGGAATAAAATTGCTGGTGTCTCAGCACAAATCAAGGCATAAGCTATACTAGGGGTCATATTATACTTTTGGGGTCTGGAGGTGGTAAACAGCAAGTTTCACATAAGAATGACCTGAGGAAGTGAAAATTATTAACTTTATTAAATGTCAACCCTTCAGTATATGTCTTTTGACTGTCCTGTGTGATAGAATGGAAGTATGCATAAAGCACTTCTGCCCCACATCAAAAGACAAGGCTGTCTTGAGAAATTACTGCTTGCACAATTATTTGAGTATTTTGGCAGACACTCTCAAGAATGAATGAATTGAGTATGACACTTCCAGGAAAGAATTAAAAGTATTTGTTACTTTTCAATTCAATTTTTACAATCCAAGCTTTCAAATAAAAATTCAAATTAAAAAAAATTTCTATCAACCACTGTGAGCTTGCCATTTTCTCAATCCTTAAAAACCTTTCTGATTTGATTGAATAAGACATTAATGCATTTGATTCTTTATAAATACTAATAAAAATGTGTTAACATTTAGAAGGAAATAATTCAGTGAACCAAATTTTTCGAAGCAACCAAAGCATGACACTTCAAAATCATACATGGATACAAGATCAATTTAAAGTGTAAGACAGATCAATGCTTTAGTATAACAGTATGAAAACTTCACTGATATGATTTCAGATTCCATACTAAGAAACTATGACTTACTGAGTTTTGGTATACAATCAAAAAGAATATCCACAATTATCTGAAAGGCTATTATCATATTCCTCTTTTTTCCAACAGTGAATCTGTATGAGGCCAGATTTTCTTCATACACTTTGATAAAAACAACACATTGTAACGGATAGAATCCTGAAGTAGATATGAGAATCCAGTGGTCTTTTGTTAAGTCTGACATCAAAGAGACTTTAAAAATATAAATAATGCCACTTGTTTCCCTAATTTAAAAAATTTATAATGTGTGGTGATGAATGCTAACTAGACTTATTGGAATAATCATTTCACAATATATACAAATATTGAATGTTGTATACCTGAAACTAATACAATGTTATATGCCAATTATAACTCAATAATATATATTATAATTATATGTAGTTTTCTTTCTTAAAATATGTTAATATATTTACTAGTTTCTTATTAATATTTATTTTATATAATATTTAATGTCTATTAATATAATGTGTCTTAAAATTTCTCAGTTTGAGTTTCTAATATGGTAAATATTGAGAGATATGACCCACATAAATAAATCTCCTTGGGGGGTCTTCAATTTTTAAAAGTTATGAGGTTTGTCTTGAGATCAAAATATTTCAGAACTACTGATCTAAAAAATTCTGTTAAAAAAGAGAAATGAAACTAAAATAGAAGTGGTAGAATTTGAGTTTTGGAGGAGGGGGCGGGCCCTTGTTTAATTATCTATAAAACAGATTAAGGAAAATAACTTAATGCTTACAAGCAAGGGCTCTAAATCAAGACTGTTTTTGTCTATGTCCTGGCTCTACAACTTATTAGCTGCTTACTTTCCCTATTCCTCAATTTCCTTATCTGTGAAATGTAGGTAATAAGTTCACTTCTTTATGGTAGGATTAAAGGAGTTAATCCATTTTATATAGGCCTAAATATTAGTGGTAGGTATGGGGGAGAATGACATTAAATGGCCAAAGAGATCTGATAGCTATAAAATTTGTCTTCATTAATAATATTACTAATGTTTATATACTAGTGCTTCAAGTTGATGCCATTTTTCTCTGTCAATCCGTTGTCTTTCAAGTCTTTCCATTTCTTCTTTTTCATGTTTCACACGGGCTTCCTCTAAAGAACCAAAAAAATCACTTTCTCAGAGACTAAATCAATCTAATTTTAAGCCCTTAAAGCTACTTAAAATATTTTCAAGATATAATGGTGATAAAATATTTTTAGAACTTACAGCCTATATTATGTGGCAGAAATAAGACAAATGCTGGACTTCTTTCAAAAAAGTAACATGACTCAAACTTTCTGGCCAAAAAAATAGGCCCATGATGATATTTCTCTTCCCAAAAAAGTTTATAGCAATCTAATAATAATTTTAACCAATAAAAAAATGACAGAACCATCATGAGTAATTAAGGAGAGGTAAAATCTTCAGATTTCCAGAAGTTTCTGACATCTACATCATCAGAAGCAATTACCATTTTTTTCTAAGTTTATTTACTTATTTTCAGGGAGAAAGAGTATGCACCCATGTAAGCAGGGGAGGGGCAGAGAGAGAGAGAGATAGAGAGAGAATCCTAAGTAGGTTCTGTCCTGTCAGCTCAGACCTTAATCTTCTCTTGCTTTCACTATTAAAAGCAAAATATGAAAGATATCTTGAAAAATATGAGTTTACTCCAATATAATAAAACTTTCTCCAAATTCTAGATCCTGATACTATATTCTTATCACGGGCCACCGGAAAGGGATTTAATAATGATTATATATAAAAAATCAACATGGAACCTGAGGACAGACTTTAAAACCTGAATTTGAATCCACACATGTTCTTTAAAAAAAAAAAAAAAAAAAAAAAAAAAAAGTTTATTTATTTATTTATTTAGAGCACAAGCAGTGGACAGGCAGAGAGATGGGGAGAGAGAGAATCCGAAGCAGGCTCCACCCTGTATGTGGAGCCCGATGTGGGGCTCCATCTCACAACTGTGAGATCACAACTTGAGCAGACATCAAGAGTCAGATACTTAACCGACTGAGCTACTCAGGCACTCCCACACATGTTCTTAATGCTAAAAGCTACAATCACTTGAAATATTCAGGTTTTTGAAATCTTTTTGTTACTTTGAATAACAGATATTTTTATTAATTCTTAATTGATTTTTTTTACAAATGAAAATCCTCTTTAAATTTGGCAAATATATACTATTAAACTATAATAATTTAGGCTGCTGTGTATTTCTTGCTAGTGTCTATTTCCCATATTTAATGAATTCAAGTTTCAGAATCCTTACTGTAGAATTAGCACCAAAGCCCCTAATTTCATCAGTAAGTACAAACACTTCAAGATAGGGTTGCCAGAGTCAGCAAATAAACATACAGGATGCTCAGTTGAACTTGAATTTTAGATAAACAAATAGACTTTTTTTGGGGGGAGGGGGATTAAGTATATTTCATATAGTATATTGCGTGGGGCAGATTATCCCAAATCATCCATTGTTTATCTGAAATTCAAACTTAACTGGGCCTTCTATGCTTTTTTAAATGTTTATTTATTTACTTTGAGAGAGCATGCACACGAGCTGGGGAAGGGCAGAGAGAGGGAGGGAATCTGAGGCAGGCTCCGCACTGTCAGCGCAGAGCCCTCTGGGGGTCTCAATCTCATGGCTCTGAGATGATGACCTGAGCCGAAATGAAGAGTTGGATATTTAACAAGCTGAGCCTCCCAGGCGCCCCTCCCTGGGAATTCTGTATTTTATCTGGCGACTTCGCTTCCAAGATATATCTCAAAGTGATTGGTGTATACTAACACAACTTTCTGGGTGCCCTTTAAATAGCAGATATCTATTTAAAAAACAGATGAAATTTGAAAAACTGAAGAATTTTGAAAATTCTTTTTAAAAGTATTGCTGAGAATATAGAAATACCAACCTATTGTTAAAGTCCCTGTGTACGAAAATAGTATCACTATGTATTTTGTACCTTCCTCCTTTTGCTGCCTCTCCTCCTCCTCCTGTAGCTGCTTTAGTCGTTCAGCTTTGGTGATTTTCTTCATCTTCCTGGCAGACTTAAATGTCACAACAAAGAAAGGCTATTAACACACACATCTTTTAAATACGTAAAATACATATCTCTTATATAGTGATTATGAAAAACACTTTTACTTCTATGAATCCAGTCTTTCATTCCTTCAAATAAAGGAAACCTATCCTGTACAAAGCCTTGACTCAATGCATTGAGGACAAAGTATGGAAACAAGTAAGAAAAATAAGTATATAAGTTATTAAAAGGCAACAGTGACAGTGACAATTTAATCACTATACAATTAATAGTATACAATTTAAATAAGTTTCTTATTCCGAGTTTCCACATCTTTAAAATGATGCTAAAGAAGACCTCATTTTATTGTTGTAAGGATTAAAATAAAATGTATGTTAAAAAAAAGTTTTAATACTACATGTCTATAATTATTAAAAATATTTTTATGACTACGATACAGAGATAGCAATTTTGTAAGTTTGGAGGAAGGACAGATTATTTTCAACAATGGGAATGAAGTAAAATTGTTATAGAGCACGTAATATTTAAGTGTGTGCCCAAGAGATGTTAACATGCAAATATGCGGAGAAGGTATTTCAAGAAGACGGAAATGCAGGCAATAAATAAGATATGGAGATGGGATAGCACTGGAAAGGCCAGCAAGTTCACGGGCCCTGGGGAGATTCCAAGGAAAGGTGATAGAAATGAGAATGAAAAAGAAGGTTGGAGCCTCTGCTATAGAGGTTGGACATTATTCTAAAAGAACTGGAAAACTAAAAGTTTTGAGAAGGGCTGTGGCTATTAAGAATACAATTTTGAAAACTAACCTTGCATTAAGAAAAAAAAAATGATTATAAAGACGATACCATTTGAGTGACTACTAACAGTAGTTACTAAAACTAAAGTCATGACTGTAAATATTGATAGAATGGGTCCAATAAATATCATACAAACTAATTTGACAATAATTAAAACTGGAGACGAAGAGAGGAATGAGTTAGAGAAGAGTAAAAAAAAAAACAAAAAACCCCTGTAGTCTAGAACACGTAAATCTTAAAGAAACACTGTTGAAAGAAGTTTGAATATAATGACTATGAAGCGCTAGTAGAGCATCCAGGCAATGTTTGCAGACACTGAACCTGAGGAACTGAGGTTTAGCAAAGAGATCAGGGCTACAGAATATAAATTGGAGAACTGTCTTGGTGGTAACCACCTCCCCTCCATTTTCCCTAAAGGAAAGTATAGAAAGAAAAGAGGACTATCTAAATTTAGCAATCATTAGAGCGGTTAATCCTTGGAATATACAGACTTTTAGATGATCGTCATCTCTTTTTGGCGCACCTACTACAGAATGCTCCACTGGAATTTCCAATCCATTAGCCCTACTGCTTCTTCATTGTTTATCAACCCCCTCACACCTTCACTTCTTTAACTGGGTTAGATTTCAGAGCTCATCCCCACAACCGCTAGTTTATATATTTCCACTTCCCCTATTTCTCTGTCCCTCTGAGAAGCTCAGCAACAAATTCCTCGTTCTAGTTCAGCTCAGTTCTACATTTATTCTGCATTAGCAATATAAGCAGTTGAACCTTGCCAGAGAAAAACACATGAGCACAAATTTATTAACACAAATTTTAAACAGATTTGGCACTGTCCGGTATTCCTCCTCCCATTTCATTCTCCTCACTCTTCAACCCTCCAGAATCCTCTCCTCTTTCCTGTTCTTGGCTACTGACTTTCTCTCGCATATCATCAGAAACTCTAGAATGACCTCGGTTCCACACCCAAATCTTTGTACCTATTTATATCTTTGTCTGCCTTCCCTCCCATTCTGGTGTATGATATAACGTAATATACTTCTGCTATTTAAGGCTGAAACTGCCACCCTTACACTGGATCTTGTCCTTTATTGCCTACGTAATAAGTCCTGGCTTCTGTAATTAATACCTCCAGTTATTCATAAAGTTCTCTCTCTCTTGATTTCACATCCCTCTTCATTTTCTGCCTGAATTCTGTTTGTTACCCTTTATATCAAACCACCTAAAAAGACCTGCCTACTGCTTCCACTTTCCCATTTCCTGCATGCACCACTCCAATCGGGCTTTCATTTCTATTGCTCTATTCAAACCTCTCATCAAGGAATCACGATTGCCATGTTTCCAATGCCAATGGTCAATTTGCAGCCCTCATTTTACGCATCTGTCATCATCACTGACCAAGTCTTCTTCCTCCTTCTAGAATTATTTTATTAGGCTTTTAGGTTAGAACTGTCTGATTTTGCTTCTTCTCTCACAGGTCCCTCCTCTGCAGACTTCTTCTCTGGCTTCTCCTTCAGCTTCCTCTGTAACTGACCAGTAACTTTTAAAATCATTTGCTAATATATTTCCTTAACATTTTTTGAAAAACCAACTACCCCCCTTCACACACTTTTAATCTGGCATCGAAAACTTTTTATCATAAGCTTAAATAGCTACAAATGTTGTACTTTCCAGTATAAAATAAATCTTTTCTATCTTTCTAAATTATAAAAATATATCCAATGGAATCTGTGTATCATAGTGACTTATAGCCAATATCATATATTTTTAAAAAATATGAACAAATTTCTTTAATAAAAATGTTAATCCTTTTCCTATTTGACCTCATATTCCACTCGACTTCTCTCACAGAACCGTACCCTAATGTAATATACTTGAAAACCCTTTCTTACATTTATCTGTTACAAAAATATGTATAAAAATTTAAAATATTTATTTCCTTATCTCTTAAGTTCCTGAGTAATAAAAATTTTGTTCCGGATTTAATCTTATAACTATTTTCAGTATACAAATGAACCAAGCAAGATATTATATTACAAATTTTGATAAGTAAACTTGAAACATAAAATTTTACTAAATATGCACCTTTCTATGAATACTTGGGTTTTCTCTTTTTCCTGATTCATTAGCTATTGCTGAATGAAACAAGGCTTCAAATGGATTCTAATTTTTACAAATAAAAGAAATTAGAACTCTGATTTATATTTAAAAACCAGTGGAGGGGCACCTGGGTGGCTCAGTCGGTTAAGCATCCAACTTTGGCTTAGGTCATGATCTCACAGTTTGTGAGTTGAAGCCCCATGTCAGGCTCTGTGCTGACAGCTCAGAGCCTAGAGCCTGCTTTGGATTCTGTGTCTCCCCCTCTCTCTGCCCGTCCCCCCCACCCCCCATGCTCATGCTCTGTCTCTCAATAATAAAAAAAAACATTTAAAAATTAAATAAATAAATAAGACAGTGGAAACAGGTTTGCTACAGCTCTCTCATGCAGTTCTTTGCATCCTTCACATATCATATACCAAAAATTACATTGATTTACCAAAAAAGAGCCCCCAGAGATAATCACTGACATTTGTTAAGATTGTCTTTTCCTTTTTTTGACTTTTTAAAAAATTTGTTCATTTATTTTGAGAGAAGGAATGTGTACCCGAGCAGGGGAGGGATACCGAGAGAGAGAGAGAGAGAGAGAGAGAGAGAGGGAGAGAGAGGGAGAGGGAAAGAGAGAGAGGGACAGGGAGAGGGACAGGGACAGGGAGAGAGAATCCCAAGCAGGCTCCACACTGTCAGCGTAGAGCCAGATGCAGAACTCAAACTCAAGAGCCGTGAGATCATGACTGAGCTGAAATCAAGAGTCAGATACTTAACTGATCCACCCAGGTGTTCCCATCTTGTTTTTTCTTTAAAGTTTCATTACATATATATTTATTCCTGAACAACATAGTTTGCTGACTTTTTAACTTTACATAAATCCAATTATACTTTATGTATATGGCTATAATTTCTTATTGTAGTAAAGTATACATTACACAAAATTTACCATTTTAACCATTTTTAAATGTGCAGGCCAGTGGTATTAAGTACATTTGACACTGTTGTACAACCACCACTACCACTCATTTCCAGAAATCTTTTAATGTACCTCAAACACTAACTCCCCTTCCTCCTGCGACCCTAGCCCGATAACCACCATTCTACTTTGTCTCTGAATTTGACTACTCTAGATATTTCACATAAGTAAAATAATACAGTATTTGTCCTTTTGTATTTAAATACATGTCTTTAAATACATGTTATGGCTTGTAAGATTCATCCATATTGATGGCTTCACTGCTGAATAGTAACTCATTTTTTTTTTTAAACTTGAGAACGCTACTCTTTTTTTTTTCTTTTTATTTATTTATTTCTAGGAGAGAGAGAGACAGCGTGAGCAGGGGAGGGTCAGAGAGAGAGGGAGTTACAGACTCTGAAATAGGCTCCAGGCTCTGAGCTTGCAGTCAGCCAGAGCCTGACGCGGGGCTCGAACCCACAAATCGCGAGATCATGACCTAAGCGAAAGTCGGACACTTAACCGACTAAGCCACCCAGGCGCCCCTAGTAACTCATTTTTATACTGATAGATATTGGATGGTTTCTAGCTTGTTACCATCATGAACGATACTGCTCTAAACCTTCAAGTGGATGTATCCTGGTGTCCATTTGCAAGAGTTTCTCTGTAGTGTATAGCTAGGAGTAAAACTGGTAGATATATGCATTTTCAACCTTATAGAAGATGAACTTTCTAAAGTAATTATTTCAACCTGTAATTCCATAATCATTATACAAATCAACATTTGTTAATTTCAGCACTCTTGTTACTCTAGTAGTTGGATTTAGTTTTTGTTTTTTTTCCCTCAATACCTTTATCAGGCTAAGGAAGTGCCCTTTAACTGATTAAATGGTAATGTAGAATAATTGAATTTCCAGTTCAATCTGAGTCCATTCATTCAATTTCTAAATCAAACCAATTCTGCCTTCCAGGGATAAAGGAAGTGGGTTATAATTTATTAACACTCTATATACTTCCAGATTGAGCTTCCTAAACTTTTCTTCAGATTTAAGTTCATGAATGGGCTCCAATTTTCCTTTCTCATACTATTCTCAGGATACCCAGGTAACTAAAAATGAACTAGGAGTGTTCCCTCTTTCTATATGCTTTAGAGGAATTTGTATAAAA